AGACCGATTTGTGAAAATCAGTTCGTTTAGAAACTTTTAGTTATTATTCCTCAGTCTAATTGTACTCAGTGTAAGAAAATGCCTCGAGTTCGAAGACACCAAAATTACCACCATGTTAGCGATTTTGACATGGGTACAAATTATTGCGTATAGAAATATGGGTTTGTCGTATCGCGAAATTGGTCGTCGTATTAATTGAACGGCAATGAGGGATATGCGTGTCTGTTGTGTGTGGACAAACAAAGGTAGAGGAACACGAAGAAAACCAACAGGTCAACCTAGGCGTACCACAGAGCGTCAAGATAGGCGCTTTAGATTACTGGCTCTGTGAGACCGTTTTGCTCTTCTTCTTCTTCTTATAGTGCCGTGCACCTATAGTGCTTTGGCGAATTATCTTAAGGCCAGACGTCTGTCTTTTGCGGCATTCAAAAGATCGCCAGTGTTATTTATGCCTGTCCAGTTTTTTATGTTCCGTAGCCACGACATTTGTTTACGACCTACTCCTCTCTTGCCTCCAATCTTTCCCTGGATGATTAGTTGAGGAATTGTGTATTTTTTTCCTCTCAGAATATGGCGGAGGTATCCAATTTTTCTATTTTTCGCTCTCTCTCTTCAATCCTGACCCCCCAGGGGGAGTGTAGTGGTCGTGTATTGTCCGTCTCCAGAGATCTCTGTCTCTGGTCATTTCTTTTAATTCATGCATAGGTCTTTGGCATATTCCTGTAATTTGATCTATCCATCTTGTTGGGGATCTTCCTCGTGATCTTCGGCCTTCTACCTTTCCTTGTATTATGAGTCTTTCCATGTTTTCTGTGTTTGCTCTCATAACATGCCCAAAATATTTTAATTGTTGGAGATGGACTTTACTAGAGAGTCGTTGGCCAACTTTTAGCTCTCTTAAAATTGAATTATTTGTTCTACGGTCGGTCCAAGGAATTCGTAACATTCGTCTCCAACAGAATATTTCAGTGGCGTCTATCTTTCTTCTCTCTGATTGTCTCAGACTCCAAGATTCACATTCGTAAGTCAGTATTGGGAATATTAAGCAGTTGATCAACCTCATCTTTATCGCTCTTGAAATTTGACAGTCCTTCCATATTTTGGTCATTTTTGCTGTGGCAACTTTTGCTAGATCATATCTACGTTTAATCTCTTCTTGTAATGACCCTGTGTTTGTGATTAATCATCCCAGATATAAGTATGAGCTCACAACCTCGAACCGGTCAATTGTGGTTATGTGTGAATGATTGTTGTTTAGTCTATCCACTATCATGATCTTTGTCTTTGATATGTTTAATTGCAGACCAAATATTTGACTTTCCTTTTCGATCAGTCGTATAAGTTCTATCAGCTCTGCTTGACTATTTACAAGAAGGGCTGTGTCATCTGCGAAACGTAGGTTGTTTAGTTTATAACCATTTATTGAGATGCCCTTTTCCCGTCCTTCAAGTGCTCTTCGCATAATATACTCCCCATATATGTTGAATAATTGTGGAGATAGTATACATCCTTGTCTGACACCCCGTTCTGGATGAAATTCGTTCGAAAGTGTGTCAAGTACTTTAACTGATCCAGTAGTGTGTTCATATAGTTCGGTTATAAGCGTAATTAGATGTTGTGGTACGCCTACTTCTTTTAGTATTCGCCATAAGTGTCTCCACTTGACCCTGTCGAACGCTTTACGGTAATTTATAAAACAGATGTATAGTGGGATGTTGAATTCCCTAGATTTCTCGATTATCTGTCTTATATTCAGCAGGTGTTCTTGAGTGCCTCTACATTTGGTAAATCCAGTTTGCTCTTGTGGAATTTCTCTTTGAAGGAATGTTTTCAGTCTCTCGTTGATTATATGTAGCATTATCTTGCTGGCATGGGATATAAGAGAGATAGTTCTATAATTGTCGCATTTATGGACGCTGCCTTTTTTATGTATGGTCGTTATTGTAGATTTTGTCCAGTCTTCAGGCGATTGTTTGGAATGCCATATTTGGTTACAGAGTAGATGAAGTAACTTTACGCCGGTTTCTTCTGTGGCTTTAAGCATTTCTGCTGTTATCATATCTGGACCTAGTGCTTTGTTATATTTGAGCTTGTTGATAGCCTGTTTTACTTCATTTTCGAGTATATCAGGTTCTTCTTCCACCTCGTCAGAGATTTGGCTAACAAGCTCTTGGCGTTGATCATCTTTATATAGGTCCCTGCAATACGATCTCCATGTCTCTGCTATGTCTTCACTGTTTGTTCTCAGGGTTCCAGTGTTATCTTGAATGGCCCAAGTTCTGGCTCTGAAGTCTCTTGTCAGGTAGCGTATTTTTCTAAATAGATCTCTCGGCTGATTATTCTGACCATGTCTCTCAATTTCTTTGCATATACTTTGATAGTACTGTTTTTTATTGGAATAACATCTTCGTTTTATTTCTTTATTGAGGTTTCTTAAACTAGCTTTTTCTCTTTCACTATGTACACCACTTTTACAAAGATTTCTTCTATTTCAATTATTTTAAGAGTTTCATCTGTTATCCAGTGTTTCCGTTTCACCGGATTATTTTTCTCTGAACGATCCACTGGTGTTGTTACGCAATGTTTAACAGTCTCCCATATTTCTTGTGATGTTCCGTTACGAATAGAGGGCATACTTTTCTGTACTTCCTGTAGAAGGTCTTCTTTCTTTCTTAGTTCTATCCTCTTTATCTCTCTTTGTTTGTTGGGTGCTTTAAGTTTAAGCATTACTTTAGCTACGAGGAGAGTATGATCGGATCCGCATATCGTCCCTGGATATGATCTGACTGTTTGAATGGACGATCTACAGCGAATATTGGTGAGGACGTAATCTATTTGATTTCTAAATCTATCTCCAGGACTTTTCCAAGTATAAAGTCGACGTACATGGTGTTTAAATCGAGTATTCATGATAGAGTAGTTGTTTGTGATAGCAAATTCGATTAAACGGTCTCCTCTTTCGTTTCTCATTTTTCGCTACTACGCGTCAAATTAATGACCAATGGTTTGGAGTGGTGGGTATACCTGTTAGTATGCGTATCTTTACTTATTTAGTTAGTATACCTGTTAGTATGTTGGCGATCATCACGGCTATCTTTACTTTGTTTACTGTAGCGCGGAACAGTTCAGTGGTAGTCGTGTTATACCACTTTCGTAAATTTTGAAGCCAGGAAATGCGTCTTCTTCTTGTCGTAATGTAGCATTCAGTGATGAATCACGATTCTGTTCAGGAATGCATGATAGTCGTAGGATAAGACGCCGCCGTGGACAGCGACGAGATATCGGGTTTGCTGTTGAGAGGCATGTACACAAGTCATTTGGAGTAATGTCTATGGTAGGCGATCACCACTTGTGTTAATTCAAGGCAATGTGACAGCTGCGCGTTATATTGATGACATCTTACAAACCACCGTACTGCCTTATCTCGACGGTTGTCGAGACGTCCTTTTTTAGCAAGACAAAGCGCGTCCCTACATTGCTCGTCAAACTATGGACTTTCTCCAAGAAGCTGGCCGTAATTTTTTGCCGTGGCCGCCTCGTGCTCCGGATTTAAATCATATCGAATATGTATGGGATATGATGGAAGAAAACTTTGCACTATCCTCCACAGACTCTGGAACAAATAATACGTGAAGCTCAAGTTGCTTGGAACGAGGTACCACAAGCAGACATCGATCATCTCAATTTGTCAATGCCTAGACGTATTGTTAATAAAAATTCTTGACAACTTTATCGTTTCATTCTTGATGTAAATCTACCATGTTGTCAAAAAATTAAGTTCAAGAAATTATTCCTTCTGGGTGCAACACTTCTAATGTCACTGAGTATATTAATGATTTAAGAAAGTTGGTGCTTCCTGTAATCTATTTTATGGTTCATTACATCACTTTAAGCTTACAGTATTTAGGTAGTTGTTTCTAGATTACTATTTCCAAATTTCTACTAATAAAACAATATTTTGTTATTTTATATTTTATTTATGTATTTTTTTATATTTTTATATATACACTTTCTTTCACACCTGTACCTACATTGCTTTGTTAAAAGATTATAAAAACTGTGTTGCGCAATAAATGCTAATACTATTATTGTATTTATTATTTCTTAGAAAGGTGTGGACTACTTGTATATTTCTTTGTATAGTGCGTTTAATACTAAGAGTGCAATATCTTAAACAGTATCTACCTATTTAATTTTAGCATTTGTTTACAACTTATAATCGAGAATCAAAATTGTAGGCAGTAAATTCTTAGAAGTGTGAAATAGTGACGTTTCAGCGCTATGGTAGGTCTTCCAATGGAGTACGAAAAATTTCATAAGAAGGTACGACAAACTTATACCGAAGAAATACCTGTCTATAATATGTATCACGTTAATGTAGGAGTATGATTATTATTGACATTTGGGTTAATTACAATAAATAATTTTAGATTAGTAGGTAATAATTAAACCTCCCTAAAACCGCGGTCATACGCGACAGCGTGTTCGTTTCAGCGACAAAAACCAAAAACCAATATACTTAACTTTGACGATATAAACATAAAACATAGCATTAAAACATTAAAAAAGAATTTAACAATAGAATAAAAAACATCGGGAACAACTGGAAGATCCAGAAGAACTATGGAGTGAATTTAAAAACCAACTTAACGAAATCTCCACAAACAATGATTATAGAAAAAACAATCAAGAAAAATAAATATAACTATAGCCTCTTACCAGTACTAAAATTGGTAAGTATCATTGAGGGTTGGGTTGAGGGGACGTCGCAAAAAATAGGAAAGTCCCAAGGGCGTCACACTACGAATAAGTATGGGAAATTCTGCTCTACTCTATATCATTTTGTAGGTATTTCCACTAAGTTTAAAGACTATCGCAGAGTAAAATCATGCAACATGCAAAGCACTAAAAAAGATGTTGGGAGAAAAAAGGCTAGGAATGCAGCAGTTAATGGTTAACTAAACTACTGAAGGTACTTAAACCAAGAGAAAAGCATAATGCCGAAGTATTGCAATTTCGGAGTCTAATCTGTTCTGCAAATAACGAATCAATTTTATTTGTTATTAAGTTGGAGGATTAATAGCTCTAAATTGCAGAATTATGATTATGTATGTAGCAGTTGTAGAAAGAAAGTTGGATAAAACCATTTGATTAATACCAAAAAATCCAGCGCAGGTAAATTTGGGTAGCAGGAACTTTATAAAATTGACCATATCGCTAGCAGTTGTATGTTTTGTTGATCCTGCGACATAGATACATGCTTCCAAGAGTTCGTTGGCTTTCTTCTCAACGCGATCACATGAATTAATTATTATTATCAAAACTGCCTGTAAAAAAATAATAGTTTTTAGATATCAAAATTATGAAATAATCAATTGCATGAATTTTAATTGTGGACAATAAAAATCATTTCTTTTTGACATATCTTTAATAATAATAACGAATTGGTTGCTTATTTGAGTGAGTCCATTTCAAACAAGGTTGTAAAAATAAATTACAGACTTACTCACAATCTATTTATTTAGCTTGCGAGGACCGGTTTTAACCACTACAGTTTTCTGGTCATCATCAGGTCACCGATAAAGTACAATTGAGGAGTTTGCTATAAGAAGGATGCAGCTCCATATTTGGTAATTGTTGGGAAATTGAAAAAAACTGTATTTTAATAAAAGTTTTTATTTTAACCCGAAAGACATAATATCAATAGATGACAAACAGATTTAGCCAATACTTGAGACTATTTTCAAGTAGATAATTTTTGAAAAAATAAAAAAAAGTTGGACCTGCATCTTTCTTGCACCAAACACGTGAAATAATGCTTTACCATTATTTTTGAGAAAAAAAAAACAAATTCCAAACAAAAACTCTTTTATTCGATTATAACAATCAAACGACTATGCTTTGCCCACTACACAAATACGAAAATATCTGTAAAAAGAAACAGGTTGGTGACAAAAAATAGTATTCAGAAAAAAAAATACAACATTAAGCACACGGGAAAACACATCCTTCATTCATCTACCTGGTCGTCATCATCCGTTCCAGATGATTCGGTTTTCTGGTTCTCTTCCATGGCTGCACACTTGTAAGACGGGTGTAAAAAGTCCATAGGAACGAATCGTGTTGCCAACTGCTTTACATATGCATATTTGGCTTTTTTGACAGGTATAGAATTGCAATAGACATATCAAATAGGAATGTCAGAGGAAACTAAGAGGTCGCTGTCAAGGTTTTTCAAGATTTGGAATAAATGAAAACTCAGAAGGCCAGTAGATATACTGACTTTAATACCATCTAAATGCTTATTGCTGTACTGGAAAATTCCTTATTTGGAAATCTGGAGTGTTTGCTTTTCTGCATCTGAGATAACTTTTTTAAAATGTCCTTTATAGTGAACACTAAAGATCAGGATCACATTTTGTTTTGGAAATAAACTGTTTGAATGATTGTTGAACAAAATCAGCATACTGTTGGGGACTAAAAACGTGGTCCTTCTTTCTTAAAAACTTCTCAATAATTCCAAAGCAACAATCACCGGGAAAAAAACTATGTCCTGGCTCAGGAAAGCGGTGCTCTATCTTGTCAATAGACCTAGTTTTTACCAGCAAATAGAGAAACTGAATCATGACTGAGTTTTTGTTTTGTGCAGCTCGTTAGCGGAGAAAAGGTATAAAACTTAACATTTTTGGGGTATATATTTTTTATATAGTGGTACAAAAATGGCACTACCTCGTTTGGTGACTTTCGATCCGTAGTCTCATCATACATATAAAAGTATGTTTGATTTGTCTTAACAGAATGGACGCAGAAGTTGTATGTCCACAACTGGCGTTTGTAAAAGCTTTCCTAGCAGTAATTTTTGGAAGTGGATGGTTTTGTTGGAACTCAAAGGTCAGACCCTCCACTTCGTCTCTATACTTGCACAATGTGGTTTTCTCCTTCAGCTCCTTGAAAAACAAATCGACCTTAATTTCATACAACTTCTTTTCCGCTAAAACTCTTCGTTCATTTTCGTCGAGGGTCATATCTTTGAGTTTGTTATCTAAGACATCACATTTTTTGCACGTATCTGATCGAGGTGAGCCAAACCTGTAGTTGAAGGTTTCTTTGAAGTATCGATAATAGAAGTCATAGGGAACTTTGGGTTCATATTTATTATTGCTAACACTTTCTGGTTCGTAAAGTTCCAAATAGAGTTGATGCATTTCTTTACATTTTGATTTATAGATAAATAGAATCGATGGGATTTGTTTCTACTATAATACGATTTACGTCTTGGAAAACTCTGGATGTACATGTTCACATTTTTGAGTGTTTCGTTAGATTTTCGGTTCAGTCTATTTGTATGCTTTCCTTTGTTACTAGGTAGCAGCGGCTCGTGGCCTAAATAAGTGGTGAAGATGAGGAAAGCTTGCTGGAACCAAAAGGACTTTTAGTACCTACGTCGCGCCCAAATCTAATTAAAAATTCGTTAAAAAAATGTAAAGAATTTAGGGCCCTAATAACTTAAAAACAATTTTTTAGGGCACTTATACTAGATACGATTCATTCTACTTGCCTGGGGTATTTTAGTTCTAAACCTTGACATTTCATTGAGGGTTTTTTGACGATTAAACACCATCCCTGCTAAAACGGGTTGGTGAGTTTCGATTCAGCCGCCCACTCTGGGTCAGATGCTGATTGCAGCCGACCTCTTTGGATCAGACGCTGCAGTGTTTACTGGTTTTGGTCCGCCCCGAGTATTTAATTTCCCCGGTACCACCTATATGTAGGAGGCATTCCCCTATCCGCCACCTGGGGAGGCGCCCGATGGAGAACCAACAAAATACTGGTTGATCGACCATGTAAAAGAACATCCCTTTTATCTTCATTTTTCCAATGCCTAAACGGAGTCTCTAATATATTACACACCAAGTCATTAATTGGATTCATGACTGTATTTGTCATGACAAAATTATTTTTGTTCAAACGAAATCCACGAGAACACTATATCCGAAATCCGAAACAAAGCACAGAGAAATGTATTAATAAAGTGCACTAAACAAATAAACTTAATACTGTGACTAAACTAAACTAATAAATACTATACTATACACTATACTATATAAAAAATCTATATAATAGACTACATTTCAAAATATTATCGCTCAGAGAAATTTCCGAAAAATAGGAATACTACATAAACATCCAACAACTATAAGTTGTTATAGTGGGTGAAGACGGATAATTCATTTTTTAACGAAATCCACAAGGAAAAATTCCTGTAGCTGGCTGTATACCACGTATAACAAAAAGAGGTTAATCTTTGTAATATAAATATACCCATTTACAAAGATTAACCTCTTTTCATTTTTTAACGGAACTGCACTCGCCAGATTTCTCAGCTATTACTAACGACAGGCTGACGTCACGTTGTCATGGCAACTGTGAACGCTTATGCAGATTGATTTCGCATTTAAAAAATGATATTCACCTATTCCTGAATCCTACACGGCTAGTGACACAGATCAGGACTTGACCGTCAAATTGATATAATAATGTTGCTTTTATTTTTTATGTATTTATCTCAATTTAATTATATTTTTTTGGTGAACCTCACCTTCACCTACTTCACCTGGCCGGCCGCCGCTGTTACTAGGTGGCGCTGCAATATCTCTGTCACGAAAAGTTTGAGCAATGAGATCTACGCGTTTCCTTGATATGTCGTGGATTGAACCAAAAGCATGTCTACAAACTTGTTTGGATAGCTTACAAGCTTTATAAAGTATTTGTGGGAACAAGTGCGGTCTTGCCTTTCATTAGTCTTTTTTCAAAATCTTTGAATAGTAGTAGTTTGAATCAACGTTCCCAAATAGGTATTTTGCAAATCTTTGTTGCCTATTTTGTTAAACTTTTGTAAGACAACTTTTCTTGTTTCTTCGTCCACATTCTGACAACACTTGTACCTGCAGTTGCAGTTCGATCCAATTAATCTCGGTCCCTTCTGTATTCCTTTCTAGTTCGTATACATTTTCCCTTCTGAAATAGCTTTTTTTCATATTTCTTTTTCAGAGAGTGGGATTGGCACTTTTTCTATTTTTGGTTACAGGAACAACTGAGGGTTCTTCCGTGAACAGTTCAATGTGTTGTTTTTTTACAGAGGTACGTTTCTTTTTTGGATGCTTCCTCCTAGTTGAAGGTCCTACGACATCACTATTAAAACAACTTTCATAAGAGCTTGTAGGTTCATAGTCTGACTCACTAGAGCTAAACGGGTATGACTCGGTTTCACTCATTTTTACACGACGTTAAATTTTTACACGAACAATTAAACTGCATGAAAACGCACGCCACGCAGTAATGATAGCGACTAACAAGTCAAAACCTATCAGCTGCCCTACCGGCCCAGCGCCAACAGAAGTTGACCTTACATTCCACGAAAACCACCGAACATTCACAATCGTTTGGTGCAAAAACAATGCAGGTCCGTAGCTGCACCCTTCTTGCACCAAATGAGTGAGGAGGCAGATCCATAAAGACGAATAATTCCTTTATTTATTATCGGATCTACATCGTTTTTATACCAGTCAATCCGCCATTTTTTAAAATTATGTCATATATTTCCACCCAAAATGGTCTAAATACGGAGCTGCATCCTTCTTACAGCAAACTTCTCAATTTAAAATGCTGAAAAATTACATAGTATATTTCGAACACTCTTCTGCACACCATAATACAAGGAAGAGTAGAGAGAAGAAAAGGCTTGGAAAGAAAGAAGAAATCTTTGCTGAGAATATCAGAGATTTGACTAACCACAGTGTTGAACAAATATTTCACGTTGCAAAAGATAGGGAAGCGTTTAAAGAAGTGATCACCAACCTTCGTTATAAGATGGCACAATAAGAAGAAAAAAAAAGTAAAAAACCCTTCATCAGGTATGGTGCAAAAAGTGTCAATATTACTTACCTATATTTGTAGGCGAGATTTTTAATGAAAAGTAAATTAAAATAAAATAAGTAGTACTTACATTCCGATACAAGGTCTGTTATTAAATGGCGTGTATGGAACGCTCATTTATGCTAAAGTTTTGTATATGGGTGTTCAGCGTATTATACGTCGACATGCATAGGCGAGCGATTTATCCCTATAAGCATAGCACAAACTAACTAACACCAGCGAATCCTTACCAACCTGCACTGAGACAGCGTGGTAAGGTACGCCTAAGAACCCCTAACATGAACGAGATATTCAAATCATGGCCCTCATTCTCCTTAGGCCCAAATGACCCCGAAATGGGTAGCTTTCGGGATCAAGCCAGGAGGCAGAGGTTGCTAAGAATCTGCGGAGTTTAAACCGCTATCTAAATAAAACAACAACATTATCAATCAAGACTTGTAGAACTGGAAAACGAAACAGAAAACATAAAATGGGACGTCATAGGAATCAACGGAGTTAGACGGAAAAATGAAGAGCTATTGGAATTAGCGTAAGGAAACACATTCTACTACCGAGGCACATCAACAGGCTGAACAGGCGGTATTGGATTTTTAATCAACAAGAAATGGAATCGAAGAATAGTAGAAATAACTAGTATCTCAGATAGAGTAGCTAGCTTAATCTTACAACTACCAAAGAGATACAATATACAAATATACGACCCAACGATTACTCATACTGACTAAGAAATAAAGGAACTCTACAATAACATAAATGAAGCATTAAACAATAAAAGTCATTTCAAGTATTGAATTGGTGACTTACATGCCAAAGTGCGAAAGAAAAACGACAAGAACAAGTTGAGGGAAAGTATGGAGTCGGTGATTTCAATCTAACCAACAAGATTGCTACAATAAAAGATGTCAGTGGATTCAGTACAATAGATCATATTCATACACTTCAAGCACTAATGAGTAGAGCTAAAGAATATGAAATACCGCTAGCATTACCTTCATAGATTTCGAGAAGGCTTTCGATTCTATATATCCCAAGGCAGTAATAGAAGCTTTGACCAACCAAGGCATTGACAAACCGTACATAGAAACTTTAGCAAATATATACAGATAAGCAAAAGCTAAGGTAAAAATTTTTGAAAAGACTCCAGAATTTCCCACTATCACAGGCATCCGAGGAGACGCAATATCACCAAAGCTTTTCACTGCAACTCTAGAAAATATATTCAGCAAAATGAACTGGCAGAACAAAGAAATATCGATTGATGGAGAATACCTCAGCCATCTAAGATTGGCAGACGGCATCGTTCATCCTCATCATAATTGGTGCTGCAGCCCTATAAAAGAGCCTCGACCTTCCCACGTCTATTACGCCAGTCAGTTCTATCCATTGCTAACTGTTGCCAGTTTGCTGCGCCTATTTTTCTACCATCCTTATCTACACCACCCCTTCATCTGAGTTTTGGATCACCCCTACTTCTACTTCCCACAAGTTGTGACATAAGGATTCTTCTAGGAGGGTTGTTCTGCTGTGATCTTGCTAGATGTCCTGCCCATCTTAGTCTTCCTATGAGATACTGATTTTATAAGAGATACCAAATATATGTTCATATCTGTGATATATCTTGTAGTTGTACCTCCTTCTCCAAACACCATTTTCACAGATGCCACCGAATATTTTTCTCAGGATCCTTCATTCAAATATAAGCAGGAGGTTTTCATCTGCCTTGGAAATGGTCCATGTCTCTGATCCATATGTCAACACTGGTGGTATAAGGGTTTTGTATATGGTTATTTTTGTTTTTTGGCTAAGTTTCTGCATCTCATATGTCTACTCAATCCAAAATAACATTTGTTTGCTAGGATTATTCTTCGCTTGATTTTTTCCGTCATGACGTTCTCCTTGGTGATCAGGGAGCCTAAGTATGTGAATTTGTCCACCACTTCAAAAGTAGAGTTATCAACCGTGAATTGGTGGCCGATGTTTCTGGCTCTACTGTTGGGTATTGATGCTATTATCTTAGTTTTCTCCTCATTTACTGCATATGCCAAAATTTGGGATGATTTATTAAAAATGTTTTCTCTGTTGTCTATTTGGGCATCCCTGACCACTTTTTCCAGAGCTGTTGAAAATGAGACACGCCAGCTCATCTCCCTATCGCAGCCCAACATGAGTTTCAAATGCCTGTGATTGTTCACCTTGTATTTCGACTTTGCAAATAACTTTACGCATTGAAACCTTAACCAATCTTATCAGTTTATCGGAGACGACATCG